TGTTGAATACTCACAATGGGAAACCCCTATTGTTACCCCTGTGAAGCCTAATGGGTCCGTTCGTATATGTGGGGACTATAAGTTGACCGTGAATAGGGTGCTAAATTCACATCCATACCCCGTTCCTGTGGTGCAACATCTTTTGCATTCGTTGGGGCATGGGTACATTTTTGCGGTTAGACATGGCCCAGGCGTCGCAGCAGTTACCTGTGGATCCGGCCTCTGCTGATGCACAAACAATTGTAACGTATAAAGGGGCCTTCTGCTGCACCAGGCAGCAATTTGGGATTTCTGTCGCTCTGAGAATATTTCAAAGTCTTATGGAGCGGCTACTCCAAGCGCTAGACAGAGTGGTTCCATATTTCGATGATGTATTGATCGCGGCCTCTAGCAAAATGGATCTCATCATCAAAACACGGAACAGCCTATCCAGATTTAGGTCAGAAGGATTGAGGCTTAAGCGTTCTAAATGCCACCTTGGGGTTCCTTCTGTCGAATTCCTGGGATTTTTAATTGACATCAATGAGATACATCCCACTCCAGCAAGGTTGAGGCTATTCAGCAGGCCCCCACCCCCTGTTCAAAGCTTGAATTACAGGCCTTTTTATGGTTCCTGAATTCTATGCGATGTTTCTGCCGCACAAGGCTTCTGTCGCGGAACCATTGCATAGTCTCCTGGATAGTACAGCTACCTGCCACTGGGGAGCGAGGGAGGCTAAGGCAATGATATTAAACATCTCCTTACCTCCTCTGCCGTGCTCTTACAATACAATGCTACCCTTCCTCTAACGCTGACTTGTGATGCTTCTCCCTATGGGATTGGGGCTGTTCTGTCCCATGTATTACCTTCAGGGCAAGAAGCTCCTATCGCATTTTTCTCTAGAACGCTGTCCCCGACTGAACGCAACTATAGTCAAGTGGATAAGGAGGCATTGGCAGCCGTAGCAGGTGTCAAGCAGTTCCATGACTATCTTTACGGCCGCCAGTTCCTCTTTTTTTTCTTAATTGAAAATTTTAAAAAGCTTTTACAAATATTTACCTCCCTTCCCCCACCCTTCCCACCCAAACCGATCTTGAATGTCCATTCTTGAATAGTAGGCAAATCTTCCTTCTTCCAGTATTG